TCTTATTAAGCCACCTCCAGAGGCAATAAAAGTGGGTTAGTCTATGCTCATTATTAAACTCTCTGGCTTTGTAGTGCTGGGAATACTCCTCCCCCCATCCTTTTGCCATTATCCAACCAGGAGAAATCATGTTTTGAGCAACAGTTAAGGCTGTGGACAAACGCTTTTTAATGTCTCAGCCCAGCAGATCTTTTCAAAGCCTGGAATTCATTTCAGGAGCTGCTGTGAGCTCCCCCCCACAAAACCTGCCTTCCAGCTCAATGAGTGAATGAATTCCATCCAGCTAGATCCATCACAATCTGTTTGTGAAATGATGCAGAGTTGAAGATGAAGATAGAGCATGTCTCCATCCCCCCTGCCCGCCTCCCAAATCAAGCTCACAGGGGCCCGGAATGGAAATGACCCATTTGATCACGGTGTCCATCTCCAGGAGAGAGTCCCATGAAAGAGAGCCTAGCTGCTACTACACTTAGAAGGAGAGGCGTCTACTTCAAATGCCCGCACATGGTACCTAACCACACAGCTCCCAGCAGATGTGCACTGGGCAAGAGGTGGGCCATTGGGGTGGTGGCAGAGCGTCTGATGAAGATGCTGCAACTGTAGGGGGCAGGCAGAGCTTCCCGCCCTCTGCTCACATGCCATCCCTTACTACGAGCACATACAAACTTGTTGGCAAAGTAGAGGGCTTGGTTGATGGGGTCAATCGGAGCTTCTACCATGTGCTTTCTTATCAACAAGGCCCAGTTCTCCTCGCAACTTTCAATCCAGAATTTAAATTCAGCTCCCAGTCAGATAACGTGATGCTCTGTATTGCTCTGCCAGGAGATCTTGGTACAATTTCCAGAGACTGGCAGAGGTTAAGCACCCCACGCAAGTCCGTGAAGATGGGAGGGTAGATGATGAGGGTAGATAATCATCTCTGTAGATGATTACCCGCTGGTGTTGATGGGCACTGGAGGGAATTCAGCGCTGGCCAGCAAAAATGCCAACCCCTGAAGGAGATTAAAGACTCTAAGGAAAGCAAGAAGACACCTCCCCTCCTCCTCCCCACTCCCCCCGCCAGACAGAAGGGAAGATTCAGAAATTAAAAACATTCTTAGCAAGGATTAAAGGAGGTGGGAGTGTTACTCTGAGAGATACAGGGCTCTGATCTCTCACTCTTCAGGGCTACATGTGGCATCAAACCACATGACTCAACCCATGAGTTACTGGGTCACAGCTGCTCTTGTTACCTTACCTTACAAGGTGTTTTACACTCACCTCTGCACCAATCAACAATAAATCAAAGGGATTTCCAATGGGCTGCAGTATGAAGCTTGCCTGGCCTCGGGCTGATAGGCCAACAGATAAAACTGGTGGTCTCTCCTGAGTCTAAGTGTTTTGCAAGCAGGCAAGTTGGGATGGCTCAGACACAGTATCCTAGGACAAGGGAAGCAATGTACCCAGGCTCTAGCGGAAGGGATGATACAGCAGCCCTTGCTCACTGGACTGGTGCTAACAGCCACCGTGTGGATGTAAAAGTTGATGAGCAAAGACACATTGATGGGATGGTGGTTAAAGGTCCTCCAGGGGGGCTGATGCAGCTTGGTACTGCTAAATGCATCCTAGCAGGCATTCTAGCAGCCACTGTTTAAGCAGTGTTGACTACATTTGCCTCAATTCAATTACAATCTATAAAGAATGAGAATAAATCTGGCTCTTGGTAATAAACTCTGACATTTGTATTTCTAACCTGACCCTTTCAGCAACCCATCTGCCCAGTGAGCAAGTCCAACACCCCAGACCCACCAGGCCAGGTCTGTCCCTGCTGGTCCACTTACACATATATGTGGCCAGGACCTGCCTGACCAGTACCCTTGTGTCCTATTCCCATCTCCCTCCACATCTGACCAGGTTCTGCTTGTGCTGTTCCACCCCTACAGACGAGTTGCCCACCACCTAATGCCTCTCCTGTTCCATCCCATCACCCAATAAGCGTTTCCTAAAAACATTACTGGCCATCAGGGAAGATTACTTTGAGTCCCAATGAGTTTGTGCAGGAGGCAATTTCCCCTGCAGGGGTAGTAATACAATCGTCACTCAACAACAAGTCATACTCTTTCTGGGCCTTGACTTCAAGCAGTCCTCCCTCCCGCACCACGAAAACATATAGCACACACAGCGTACACACAGCACCCAGAGTTAATCTGCCCCTGAGCCATCTCCCCCATACGCTTAACTATCCTGGTCCTTTGCTGGTACGATATTAAATTGGCCTCCTCTCTCTTGTTCTGCACATGCAGGGAAGGTTTCTTAGGAACGTGGTGCAAACCCCATCACCTGAGCCATTTAAAACCGGGCCGAACACAAGAGATTCTACCGCAGGGAACAACTCTGCACACACTGAGGGTGAGAGGGGGTTTGACTATTAGGTCTAATACAGAGGTGGGCAAACTACGGCCCGTGGGACACACCTGGCCTGCAGGACTCTCCTGCCCAGCCCCTGAGGCTGTGAGCTCCTGGGGCAGGGCAGGTGCAGAGCCCGGCCCTGACCCGGTGCTCTGTGCCACGCACTGGCGTGGCTGGCTCCAGCCGGGCGGCACGGCTGTAGTGCTGCCAGCCACCGGTGCGCCAGGCAGCGTGGTAAGGGAGCAGGGGCAGGGGGGTTGGATAGAGGGCAGGGGAGTTCGGGGTGGTGGTCAGGGGGCGGGGGTGTGGATAGAGGTCAGGGTGGTCAGAGGGTGGGAAATGGGGGGGTTGAATGGGGGCAGGGGTCCCCGGGGGGCAGTCAGGAAGGAGGGGGGGGGGGTTGGATGGGGCGGCGGGGGCACTCGGGCAGGAGTTCTGGGGGCGGTCCGGGGACAGGTCGCGGGGGCTGGGCCATGCCTGGCTGTTTGGGGAGGCACAGCCTCCCCTAACCAGCTCTCCACACAATTTCTGAAACCCGACGCGGCCCTCAGGCCAAAAAGTTTGCCCGCCCCTGGTCTAATAGCTCTTTTCTTCTTTTCTTGAACCAACAGAAGGGTAAAAAGAAATAGTTCCTCAGTGGCGCTACTTCAAGTCGTGTAAGTTTATGCTACCGTTTGGATGTCAGCCTTTTGGAGTGAATTTGGTGCTGGGTTTGGACACAAGAATCTTGTTTCTTTGGGGGCAAGGGCAGTCTTTTTGTTCTGTGTTTGTATGGCTGCCAGTGCAATGGAGTCCCGGTTCATGACTGGTACTCCTCAGCACTACAATCCTATAAATAATGAGACAATGAGACTACTTTAAAGAGGAATGCTGCAAGCCGTCGTTACCCCAGGCACCTTTATTGCGCACAGCAAACCTCCATACAAACCTTATCCCAACACACCTCATCGACTCCAATCCTACTATAGAGATAAATGATAGCAAATGGCAAGAGAAATTAAAGAGGCGGAGACACAATTTGTTTTCGGATAAGATCTGATCTGAACCAGAAAACAGAGGAGGGGAACAGATAATGGGAGGCTCTTCCAGAGCTGCAAAAAAAAAGTTCCTACACCACCAGTGGCCAGATTCTGGGGAAAGGAGACCCGGGATGGGCTAACAGGAGTAGGAAGGGGAAAATGAGAGAGGGGCAGGTAAAATAGGCAGCACAAGTTTCTCCCACGTGCCCCCCCCCCCAGCATGCTTTATGCCTACACTGAAGGTACCACCAGTAGGATGGCAATCACTAGCACTTGTGGTGGCTATGTGTTACTATTTATACAGGACTGTACCTGGTGCTTTACAGATGAACGTGGGGTTTCTCTTCCTGTGTCTTCTGATGTTCGGTAAGGGGCTGGGGTGAGGAAGAGGAGGGAGGTTTACACAGTAAAAGTGAGGTCACTTGTTTTTTCTGGGACCATGTGCCCGGGCTGGAGTGAGATAAGCGCATTTGGAGGAGGGATTTGAAGAACAGCGAGTGGGGTTGCAAGGGATACAGGATCTGGGAGGTGACTCCAAGCATATGGTCACAAGAGGAGAAATCACCCAGGCACTCATAAGAGGAGGAGAGAGGTTGAACAGGAAGGCTCTCACCATATGGAGAGGTGTCCCTAATGGACAGATGTCTCCTCCTGAAAGGAGTTATTGTACTGAGCTCAGAGTTTGTTTTCTTCGGTATAAAGAAGCCTGAAATCAAACAGTGTGAATGGGCTTATGAAAAAACAAAAAGCTGTAACTTTTGAAGTACAAGAGGGCCCCAGGGAAGGCCAGGGTGACATGGCAGACGCTGTCCTAATAGAACAGGGAGTTATAACAGTCAGCCAGTTTGAATCAGCCATTTACACACAATTGCAAACTTTCAGAATTATGTTGCTCCTGCTATTTCTGCAACTCATTATTTTATCAGGAGGCTCACTGGAGCAGGGTCTCTTGATCCATAAGCAGTTTTACAGCGATATATTTCGAGTCAAACAAAAAATGAATAAATGTTGCTGTATTCCTAGGCTAGGTGTAAATGACAGCTTTTTGTTTTAAAAAGCCAAATGCCTCAAGCATTTGCTGAATATCTCACTGCTAATGTTCTAAGTGTATACAACCTGTACGGCACTCCAGGATCACAAGAGAGTAACACATCCAATTATCCACAGACAGCATGCTGGGTTCATGCTATCACCGAAAAGTCTGACACCGTATTGTTGGGTCTTTCCACGTCCCCAGCTACACATTTTAGTAAACGTGAATTTAGATCTAGTTAGAGAGGATGATCTGGATTGTGAAGTTAAGCATTGAAGATTTGGATTTAAGACAAACCCTGAACATTCAGGTGCTCAGACACAAATATCTGCAGTAAACTGAGTAATCGTAGCAAATTCAGTACTACAGGGTAAATCAGAGAGCAAAAGGATTTTTCTTCCTAAACCTCCCCCCAGCCTTAAACCCCAATCTGTAAAATTAATCTCCATCCATGCTCAATAAAAACAACAAAAAACACCCCAGGAGGTGTTCTTCCAAGATTATCCAAACACTCCTGAAAGAGGGAAAAGACATCAACTTAACTTCTCTCTGGCTCTCACCATTAACTGCAGATACTTCTTTCTCAAAGCCTCTTGAAATGATTTACTGACGGGAACCGAATAGGAGAAAAAAACTGGAAAAACATCCTGCCCTCATCTCCAGTGTCCCTTGGCGATCAAGGCTCTCGCTGCTGTACCACGCACTGCATGCAGGAGATAAAGGACTGCCCCTTCCTCCCGAGCCGAGATCTGCCTCGCAGATTCCCCCTCTTCAAAGCACTTTGCAAATGACATGTTTGCAACCGCACAGACAAGACTCTGTTGCACCCTCTCCGGGGCTATGCCAGGCGCTGGGAACGAACTCTCACGGCCAGCAGTCTGCATTCACCTCTCTCCCCACACTTCAGGCTGCCTCCCCCCCAGACTAGGGCAGGACTGGGGATGGAGATGGATCTACACAGATACTCACAGGCCAGCGATCTGCCCCAGGGGTCTGAGCGTGTCCCCGGGTCACTGTAGCTCCCCCGGCGGGCTGGTGCCCATGCTGCCCCCCCCCCCACACAGGGAACTCTCACTCACTGGATACAGTCTAGCTCCAGGGGCTTGAGACTAAACTAGTTTCCAAGCTGGAGGCGGAGACACCACCCAGCAGGGCCAGGGCAACCAATCAGAGCTGCAGCATTGTGACTGAGCCCGTGGGGGGGGGGGGGGGGGGTAGGTCAGGCTCGGGCAAGGGAGGGGGCGGGTGCAATAGCGGAGTCAGCCAATCGGATGAGAGGAAGCGGCTGCTGGGTGGAGTCAAGGACGGGGTCCGTCGGGCTGGGCTGAAGCACCTGGAATCCACCCCCGTGACTCTTAAAGGTGCAGGAGCCCTTGAGTCAGGCTGGAGGGGTGAAGGCAGCGGCGCCCGAGGGAGCTTTAATACACAGTGCCGAAGGGCGGGATGTCAGTCCTAGCCTGCACCTAACCCTAACGCCAGGCGCGTCCTCGCCAGCCGGGTCCTCCACCCCAGCTCTGCCACTGCACCTCCATCCTGACCTCTGTACCGTCCCCTTCCTCCCGCTGGGCTGCCCTGGCAGCGCTTGGCAAAGCATTTCTGGCCTGCTCGGCAGCATCCCCTGCTCTTACTTGTAGAGGCCCCCGGATAGCTCTGGCCTAACGCCCCTTAATCCCCACCCTGCAACAGGCCCAGCGCCTCCCACTCCACGCTGCCAATGCACTTCAGCCCTAGTGTGCGGCCCCTGCGACTCTGGGACTGGCTTCAGAGGGGCAGCCGCCTGAGTCTGGATCTGTAAAGGCGGCAAAGAGTCCTGTGGCACCTTATAGACTAACAGACGTATTGGAGCGTGAGCTTTCGTGGGTGAATACCCACTTCCTCGGATGCCTGGAGTGGAAATTTCCAGAGGCAGGTATAAAGATGCAAGCAAGAATCAGGCTAGGGATAAGGAGGTTAGTTCAATCAGGGAGGATGAGGCCAGCTTCTAGCAGCTGAGGTGTGAACACCAAGGGAGGAGAAACTGCTTTTGTCCTTGGCGAGCTGTTCACAGTCTTTGTTTAATCCTGAGCGGATGGTGTCAAATTTGCAAATGAACTGAAGCTCAGCAGTTTCTCTTTGAAGTCTGGTCCTGAAGTTTTTTTGCTGCGGGATGGCGACCTTTACATCTGCTGTTGTGTGCTGGAACAGGGCTTCCCACACGGTGCTGTGGGGCCACCTCAATCCCGACCTGCAGGGCCCTGCTACTCTGGTCCGAGGTGTAAAAGATGTGCTGGGGAGCGAGCGCCACCAAACCTCTCCAGTTCTGTGCTGGTAAAATCATTGAACCTAATACGCCCCTCGCTGGCCTCCATGTAGAGAAGGAGAAACAGCAAATTGTGCTCTCCTGGTGCCCAGCACTTCCACCTCCGGTCCAGCACAGTCGTCACAAACACAAAGGCAGGGTGATAAAAGCCTCAGCCAAAGTCAGTGCCGATTTCTTAAATCACCCACATTTGCACTGAGGTTTCTCAGCTGCTTCAACGTATAGGACATTTCATGGTAAACAAAACTTTAAAGGGCCACATCTGCTTCAAAAATATGCATAGCACACTAGAATGGGATGCTGGGTTCTGTTCCTGTCTCTGCCACTGGCTGCTTGAGTGACCTTCGGCAAGTCGCTTCGTCATTCTGTGCCTCAGTTTTTCTGTCTGAAAGATGGGGGTAATAATAGTTACCTCATTTGTAAAGTGCTTTGCAATCTCTGGATGAAAAGCACTTACACTGTATAAGAGCATTAATTGATCATTAGTAGAAGTAGTGGTAGTATGCCATATTCGGGCTAGAGTCTTGAAAAACTGGCATTTGAAATTTGCTCCCCAACCTGGATTTTTTTCTCTTGAAAAATAATTTAATGTACTCTAATTCTGAACAAAGTGCATCTCAGCTGAAAAGGTGTGTCTAGGGCACAGGGGAGGACTTCCCCTCTCTTCTCCCATTACCTCCTTCACTTTCCCAGGCTTATACCCTTCTGCTTTCAGTAGTGCTCAGTAGGTAGCTTACAATAAGGGTCAATGTTACAGTGAAGAACTAGCAACTTTACTGAGCACATCCATCTAGGCTAGTGACCCAGTGAAAATCTCCTGTCCCCAAAGTGTGCAGGGGCTTCTCTAAAACCAAGTCTAGAGTATTAAAGGGCTGCCTGGAAGCCCTTTGCTCTAACCCAGAAAAGTTCTCAGTGAGTTTCCTACCATAGTTACTTATGCCTCTGCTTGTCCCCGTTTCGTGCTGGTGACTCACAAGGAGGCACTGCCTGCAGGGCCCGTTCTGCAGAGCCTGGGGAAAGGAGGAGATGGGATTTACTGAAGCAACAACCCCAATAAAAAGCTGCGTGACAAAATACAGTCCCATACTTCCTCCGGGGTAGAAATGGGATAACATCATGTAGCTACAGTTAACAGGGACTGTATGCACTAAATAATAGTAATGGTACATCAAACTATTTTAAATCCTTGCTCCCTGGATTTGACCATGCTGTACCAGACAAGTGAAAGTTAACCCTTAGAACTCTGCCATTTCCCAGCTTCCAGCAAAGCTGCTGCTTCAAATGGATGAAATACCCTGTTAATTAGTTTAATGAACTGCTGCGGATGACAAGGGGAATCTCGAGCAAGGTGGCTGCTGTGGCACCCAGAAAACATCTGTTGAACAACGGCAGCATTTAAAGACAAAACTAAATTGATTTTTCACTTTGTGGTTGAGTCTCATCCAGCTGCTCCAGACTATAAAAGAACCATTGAGGAGTGTAATGTAGTAATTGTTAATTCTCAGAGCAGTTTCCAACTGCTACCCGCTCAGGCTGGCAAAGTCCTTATCACCGCAAGCTGTGTGTGAACCCAGACTGACATCCATCCTTTTGTAACTGATCCAGAGAAGAGGGAGGAGTAATTTGTATCAGCTGTCACTTACAGAAGGTCTATGAGGGGGAAGGGTTTCAGCTCCTCTTATAAGGGATTCCCCCATTTCTTCAGTTTTGCTCAGAACAGCTTTTTGCAAATTCATGTCTTGGAAGGTGCTTCTGTTCCTCATCCAACACATGGTACCTAATGCTGATCTCTCTTATGCCAGCTTTACATTGGTGTATCTCAGTTGATTTCAATTGAGTCACTCCTGATTGGCACCAGTGTAACTATGAGTAGAATCAGACACTTGGAGTGCAATCCCCAACAGAGCAGCCTTGCTAAATTCTACTAACCCACTCACCTGGGGCAAGCTGATTTGTTGAGATGTGACCATCAGTATTGTCGTGGTTATCATGGTGAAGGGCAGGCAAGTACATTCATCTGCCCGAGCTGGTAAACGTTCACAACAATTGTAAATCTACAGTAATGTTACTGCTTTAAACTTCATCCTCCTCATCCTACCCTGCTGCGTGTCAGCCTCATTTGTTCCATCCCTTTGGACAGGGAGACTGTAGCCCACTGGGGAATGGCATGTAGGGCTCTGTGTCTGCTGGAAATCACCTATAACATATTTGAGTGCTCTACAATAATTAATGCAGGGCCCTGAGTGGATGGGGCTATGGAACAGGCCAAGACCTATGTTTTAAAGGAACTGCCTCCCAGGCACACACAACATGGTCATAAACTAAAGGAGTAGCAGCCCTGAAAACTGACAGACCCCTTCCTGTGATGGGGGAGAACCTGCCTACATGCGCACAGCAGGCAGCAGACCTAGGCGGCATGGTGAGGGGCACAGCACAGACAGGCAGATAGCCTGACAATAAGACAAACTGCTGGAGCGAATCTGACATCCAAAGAGGCAGAGGGAGCTGCACGTGAGGGCACCTGACAGCAAGGGAGAGAGTGAGGAGGGCAGCAGAGGGAGGAGCCAAGTGGAAAAAACGATCGATCTCTCGCGCTACAGAAATCAGAGGATTTTCTAAGGATTCCAGCTGGGGAGGAAAACAAGAGCAGCTCCTCCCTAAGGGAGGAACGGGACCCTCCTGGAGATGGCTTCAACCATTCCATACTTTAAAACCAGCACCTTGGACGGGATCTAGAGTGGAGAATCCTGCCAGGTGGGGAGAATTCTTCTGCACTATTACAACACATCACACCTGCCACGGCCTTCCTTTGATTTGCTGATTATATGGTGAGCATTCAAAAACCAAACTGCCATTTAAAAATGTGATTAAAATTTTGACATTTGAAAAAAAGTAGGGAAAAGTTGAAAAGTTGGCTAAATTCCCCCCCTCATCCCGCTGCATCATTTTTTGAGCAGCTATGCAATGGATTGAAGTGTTTTTGTTTTACAAAATTCAAAAGACAAGAAGCAAGATCAAAAAAAATAAATCCTTATGAAATGTTTTCCTCTCTTTCTTGATCAGCAGTAGTCATCACTGCATTTGTTCAGTTTAATGTTTACTTGAGATGGACACAAGTCACAGACTTTGGTGCCAGGTGAAAATTTCCCCAAAGTTCAAGGGGTTTGGTCCTGCCTGTTATGGAAATAGGATCTAGACTGGAAGTTGGTAACTGGGGCCAAACTCTCCCAAAGTTTGGTAAAAAGAAAAGGAGTACTTGTGGCACCTTAGAGACTAACAAATTTATTTGAGCATAAACTTTCATGTAGCTCACGAAAGCTTATGCTCAAATAAATTTGTTAGTCTCTAAGGTACCACAAGTACTCCTTTTCTTTTTGCGGATACAGACTAACATGGCTGCTACTCTGAAACCAAAGTTTGGTGTTTCTCAGATATCAAGTTTTCTTCTAGCCCATTTCCCATATTCACCTGTTCTTGTCACCCACCTAAATAGATCTAGCTATCAAGGAAGTAGGTTACATTGTCAGTGTTTTCAGAAGTAACAGGAGAGGTTAAAACTGGCCCAGAACTTTTGTTGGCTTCCTTGTATGTTTTTGTTTTTCTT